GTAACATCACCTTTAAGACGTGCAACATCACATCAGTGACATGATAGATCCCATCTGTGACATGCAACATTACGTCGCGTCTGTGAAATGCAACACCGCATCTGTGACATGATAGATCACATCCGTGACATGCAATATCACATCTGTGACAAGAAAAGTCACATCCGCGACATGCAACATCACATCGGTGACATGCAACATCACCTTTAAGACGTGCAACATCACATCAGTGACATGATAGATCCCATCTGTGACATGCAACATCACATCTGTGACATGTAACATCACATCTGTGACATGTAACATCACATCTGTGACATTCAACATCACATCCGTGACATGTAACATCACATCTGTGACATGATAGATCACATCCGTGACATGATAGATCCCATCTGTGACAAGCAACATCACATCTGTGACATGCAACATCACATCTGTGATATGTAACATCACATCCGTGACATGACAGATCACATCTCTGACAAGCAACATCACATCTGTGAGATGAAACATCANAAGTAAGTTTAACATCTTGTTGTCATTTTTATTTAGCCGCTAAAGCTTTTTCCCGGTAGACATTCTTAAACGTATAACGTTGGATATTACATGTGAAGGTTTGTTTGCAAATTTAAGATTCTGATTAAGTTCAAAACTCTCTGCACGCATGTTGCTTGTTATTGGTACAAGGCTGCATGCCATGCGTGTTACTGATAAAATGTTGAATGTCACCTTTGACATAAACACTCACCAGAGTAACACGCAACATTACAACAATGGCCTGTGACATTACATCTGTGACATGTAACATCACATCTGTGACATGCGACATCACGTCACATCCGTGACATGCAACATCACATCTTTGACATGCAAAATCACATCTGTGACAAGAAAAATCACATCAGCAACATGCAACATCACGTCTGTGACATGTAACATCACCTTTAAGACGTGCAAAATCACATCAGTGACATGATAGATCCCATCTGTGACATGCAACATCACATCTGTGACATGCAACATCACGTCGCGTCTGTGAAATGCAACACCGCATCTGTGACATGTAACATCACATCTGTGACTTGCAACATCACATCTGTGACATGTAAGATCACATCTGTGACATGTAACATCACATCCGTGACATGATAGATCCCATCTGTGACAAGCAACATCACATCTGTGACAAGCAACATCACATCTGTGAGATGGAACATCACATCCGTGACATGACAGATCACATCTCTGACAAGCAACATCACATCTGTGAGATGAAACATCACATCCGTGACATGACAGATCACATCTGTGACAAGCAACATCACATCTGTAACAGATATTGATCAAGTTTAAAACTCTATGCATGCGTGTTAAGTGCATTATTATTTGTTTCCTTTGTTCCTTCCTTTCTTTATTTGTAAATAAGCAGCAGCCAACTCGAAAGGTTTGCTACT